AACAGTCTTCTGAGAAAGAGGGAGCTGACGGGAGTGACAGGGAGAAAGGAAGCAAAAAAGAACAAGTGGGGAGTTTGGGGGGGTAATGCTGAAATTTCAAGTGGGGGTGAAAAGTCCACTCAGAGTCTGTTTGCAGACTTTTGACAATTAATTATTAATTTATGCAATCATGGTGCCTTGATTTTATTGAGGTTTAGTTCACACTCAAAGGTACTAATAATTGGCAGGATAATGTCTTTCAGATTTTGGCCTTGGTTTCCTCATTTTTGGTTTTGGACAAGAATTATAATTTCGGTGCATCACTAATAAATACCATTTAATAATTTGGGATGCTGTGACTGTTTCACTGCGGTGTAGACTCTGGGTGGTGCTAATGTACAGAGCATTAAAAATGAACAGCTCTGACGGTAAGACAAGCTTCACTTCCAGTCTGGAGGACCACAGGCTGCACTCAGACCAGTGAGGAGGTCCAGAGACAACCACAGTCATCCTCCCTCTGACACCAGACTCCTGACCCCTGACCTCAGCACAGGCAGACATCTCCAGAGGCTTTAATCACTCTCATAACAAAAAGAAGAATGCCGCAGCAGCGACTTATCTGTTCTCCATCAGCGTGAACCAAATACTGTGTTACATGAGTGGCCGCGGGTCAGAGGAAGACAAAACATCCATGTAACGCTGCACCCAGCCAGGAGGTGAGTCATCAGGCCCAGACGACCACAGTACCTCCATGATACTGAGATCATCAAAGAAACACCAGAGTCAAACATCTGCTGCTGCCGCTGCTCCAGGGTCCACAGAGAAAAGCAGTGATTTTCTCTCTCAGACTCAGCAGCTGTTGATCCACTGCTGCTCAATCACTGAGTTCTAATGAGTTCTAATGACTTCACTGTTGTAAATCCTTTGTTTAAAATTACTAATGTGACACAAACTGACCACACGAGGCAGCAGTGGACCAGCAGCTGCTGTGTCTCTGTCTGCAGTTGTAAACACTTGACCAACGTCAGGTTTTCTTCACGAGTGAACTCCACTTTATCACACTGTAAACTTTTCCCTCCCTGAACCAAAGTCCACACTAACAATGATCCACGTCTGATCAATGATCACATGACTTCAGCTCGAGTTTGTTGAGGCCCTTCACTGTTGACCACAGCAGATCTTTGTTCACACGTCAAGAACCCATCAGTCCTTTAAGAGTGTCAGAGCTGCAGTTGAAGGTGCGGTGGTGCAGTGAAACATTACACTGCTGCAGTCAGAGACTCACACAATCACACATGGAAAAAAGTGAAACCTGAACAGTCATCAGATTCTGTTTCCAGTATCCACACACACACACACACACACACACACACATATACACATTCGGTGGGTCAGATCAGAGGAGAACAGAAACAAAACCCCGTACCAAGTACCAGCATTGGTACATGTACAACAGTTGAGAATCACTGTGTTAAAAAACAGTTTAAAGGTCACCAAAGCACACAGAGACAGGAGAACTCTGACAGTCTGGTTTAGGCTAACGTTTAGTCATCTGCCACACAGGCGAACTTTTAGCCTAACAGCAACTCATGTGGTCAGAGCCTGTTGACAGAAAACACTCTTACGATGCTGATGTGCGTTTGGGCGTAGAACTCAGTTACAGTGTAGTGAGATGTTGTCGACCGATGACGGAGTCCGAATGAAGTCCTGTCAAAAACCTGGAGCCAGATCAGACACGACTTTGATCTTTGGCTTTTATATTCTAAACGAGTCACACCTGCTCCACTGAGAGCTTTTCATGTTCTGTGTCACCAGCGGGAGCCACTCCCCGCCCACACACACACACAGGTGAAAATCTGACGGTGGTTTCAAGTGTCCTCCTCCTCCTTCTCTTCTTTGTAGGAATCACCAGAGACAGAGTCTTTTCAGGCAGTGGGGAGAGGAGGGGCGAGGGGGGTGATGTGAAAATAAGCAGGAGTTTTGTAAGATGATAGAATGAGCAAATGAGGCAGGTCACCACCCCACACACACACACACACCTCCCCCTCGTCCTCTCTCTGATCTTCATACCTGCATGACTGAGCAGATACATTATCAGAGCTGACATTCCGCTGGTCCAACCCAGAAGCTCAGAGCATGTCCTCCTTCTCTCTCTCCTCCTACACCTCCTCCAGGAGGAGGGAGACTCACTCAAGTGAACTGCTGTTTTCAAATATCTAACTACATTTTTGGAGACCACCAGATATTCTGACACTGGTCTAGTCGATGACATCACAACCTCGGTCTGACAGAGTCACAAAACTCCTGCAGGAACGTCTAAGTCAAAGGTGTGAGAAACTGATTCCAGGTCAGATCTGCCCATGAGGAAGTAGCTCCACAACCATCTGTCTGTACCAAGGTCAGGACCAGAGTCTAGACCAGGACCAGGTCGGGTACAGACAGATGGTTGATAAACCACATATACTGAGGGTTATACTACATGATGAAGTAGCCTGAGGTAGTACTACAGTAGCATTGGTGAGAGAAACAGACAAACACAGTACTGACCCTGACCAGGTTGCTCTTGGTCTGTGCTCTCTGAGGTTGTGCTCCTGAAGATCCTTGGTCCCGGTTGTTAGCCTGGTCTCTGCCATGACCTCTGGCCACAGCTCCAGATGTGGTACCGTTGGTACAGACGGTTGCTCCCGGGCCAGGTCTGTTGCGTGGCCTCTGTTTGATGCCATCCAGTAGACGTACAAGAAGGATGTTACTGGGAAGTTCATCCACGGCACACTCCACCAATGTCCGACACTCTGGACATCGTAGTTCTCCTCTAGAACCCACAATGCCCTGCAGGCAGCGACGGCAGAAGGTGTGCTGACAGGGAAGGACCTTAGCTGAGGCATCTAGACGCTCTAGGCAAACAGGACACTCCAGCAGATCCAACAGAACCGATTCGTCCATTTTCTGAAGGTTCTGCTCCAGACTTCAGCACAGGAACATGACAGAGCAGCAACTGTGGGTTTTTGGTCCAAAACCAGGATCAGTGCTGTCATGTCACTGCCATCACTCAGCTGTGGCCATGGCAATGCATCAGCTGGAAACCAGAACATGGATCAAACATGTTAACAGTCACATCTGAGTAGGTTTGTTAAGTGAAAGGAAAGAGTTAAACGAAGAACACAACACAAGTGGACTCTGTGGGAACAATTCTGTTCATATTGGACAGTACTGTTCAATAACATCTGCCAACTGTGGCTCCAAAACCCAAATTGGTGCTCGTCCAATCCAAATGAACCAAACTGACCACAACAGCTGCTGCAAATTTTCTCTATAGACTTTGGTCTGAGGTAAAATTGTGTATTTTCTCTATGGCCTTTGGTCTGGGCTAAAATCACTGATTTTCTCTACGGACTTTGGTTTGAGCTAAAATCAGTGATTTTCTCTACGGACTTTGGTGCTAAAATCAGTGATTTTCTCTATTTGGTTTGAGCTAAAATCAGTGATTTTCTCTACGGACTTTGTTCCCCTGTATGAATGGTCTGTAGATGTCACAGACTAAAGCTACTGTAGATTTTATTAACTATAAGCTAGTGTTTGGTGAAGTGACTAGAACCGTTTTCCTGGTATTCCTACTCTCTTCCGGCAGTAAGTCTGTGTTTGACTTCAGATTAAACACAGTCTGGTGGACGGCTCTCACACCACATGGACCTAATGTCATTACAGCTCCATGGTCCACTGTTAGCTTACAGACCAGAGGATTAGAGGTGAAGTGAATCTGATTCTCCCAGGAGTGGATGAAGACACCTGGCTAATGTGATCTTAGTTTGATCCTCCACACCACAGGAGGACCAAAACCTCTCCATATGATTAAAAAATACAAACATTGTACTACAACCTGTGTACCAGAAGTAGTACCAGAACCACAGCAGAATATTAGAAAAAAAATACCAGAAAATATGGGTCTAACTTGTTGTACATGGGACTTTTAAACACATGCTAGAACTATGTGCATTTCCGTTTCAGTTACTGGTACCAATAACTTCAGACACCTTTTAGGCACTAGAGACTCAATCGTTTATTTCCACAGCTAGTAAAAACTCAGACTTCGCGTAGAGACAAAGGGTAAACAATACATTTATTTATATCAAACTAAGCTAAATCTGACATAACTTCCCAATATTTCTGTAACTTCAAAATAAAAAGGCGACATTTATTTTGAACGCTGTCGTCGGTATTGTTTATCGCCCCATGGTTTGATGGGGGGGGCGCAGTTCATTAGTGTTTGAGCATTAGAAGTTTATCCAACAACATTTCTATTTCCTCGCAGCTCATTAAAAGAAACTTTAATGGTATGAATATAGTTTAAAGCCGCCTTACCTGCTCACAATCACCACTCCTGCGCCTGTCGCTCAGCTTTCTCTCACTTTCTTCACCTCGGCGTATTTTACGTTTCCGTTAGTTACGAGGCTTCCGGACTGAACGCGCCGCTTATCTGGAAACTTCCGGGGAGAAATAATACTTAGTTTAGTTTTTTAAGATGTGTATACGTCAAAGGGTGTATACGATATGTGATGAGTTAAAATACAACACAGAGATGGAGAGAGGACGGAGAACTGAGAGGAAGAGTAAGCGCTGCGGGCGCCATGTTGGCTCTGCTGTTACTTCAGTACTGCTGTTGGAAACCAGCAGCGACGGGGCGGGGCCTGGCTGCTTCAGGAACTTCTTAAAGTGTCGGAAATTATAAGTGAAAATCGTACGACAACCAGGCCACCTTGTTAAAAGGAAAATGTGATCTATATATTTGATTACTTCATCATTTCTCACATTAAACTATTGTCGCTAAAACAGACCGAGCTCTGCTATGAAGGTAAACTAATGTGTTTAATATAATAGTGATCAGTGGTTTTAGGAGAAGAATAATGAAAAATATACCTTTTCTTCCCCTAATTCAGAACAACCTTGGATGGACCTCATTCATAGTATTTGTCTCTGTTGCCGGTGCAGAGACAGGTGCAGCTCAGGGGTTTGTTCATGGAGCTTCATTCAAAAAGTTGTAAATTCCAAGGTATCATTAAGGCAGCGTAAGTAGGGCGTGTCTGCTGTGTGAAGCTAACGAAGTAATACGAAAAAATGTATTCATTGCAAAATATTTCGTTTTTGTTTTGTTTTTTTTCATTTATAAACTTGGTAAATTGATAACGTGTGACTAAATGTATCAATTAAATGTCATATGTATGTTGTTCATAGCCTTCCCTGTCGTGTGTTGATGCATGAAAACGTCGTAAAATCAAATAAGTATATAAATTTTACGTCGTAAAATCAAATAAGTATATAAAGTCATATTTTAAAAGAAGATACACCATGTGGGCAGCAATGGCAATATAAGTTTATTTACTTTAAATTTAATCATTGCAATGGCAATAGAAGTTTATTTACTTTAAATTTAATCATTTATAGAAAATAGTGGGGCTAAATTAAAAAAAGTGGGTGACAGGCGACATCTGGTGGCAGAATTCTTACTAGATCGTCACTACAACCAGAATAAAATGTATCTTTTTTATAATAATTATAATACGGGGCCCCTAAAGGGACATGGGCATTACAAATGCAACCTGAAAATTGCCTACTGTCAGTAGTTTTATATTTATTGTAGAACAGCTGCAGTCATCTGTCCAGCTCTGTGGCTTCAGCTGGAAGGACACAGAATAAAAGGGACGGGATTATACGTCAACAAACAAGAGGTTCGTTCACTCACTCAAGTCGATGACGATACCGTGCTCACGTGAAACGTTCATTTATTTATTTACTTTCCCATGTCCCTTCAGTGGTTCCGTATTATAATAATCGTAATTAATTTATCGTTTTTATTATATACTCATGATAATAAGCCAAGTCAGTTATTTGTACGTCGTCACAAAAGTCGTTTCAAAAACCTTTATTTAAACAAAAATATTCAATAATATTTTATTTTAAATCATATTATTTTCATTGTTTATATAATTTACATAAAAGTCAAACGTCCCATACTACAGTGTCATATGGCCACAACAACAAACAACAACAGTGTGACTGTCAACAAACAAAAATGACTAATTTCAAAGTGTGAAGAAAAGTAAATGAAATGTTCCGTACCAGAGACACCTGACGTTTACAAAAAATGTTGTTCTGGTTCTGAGAAAATCCTGGTTTCAGTGTGTCACCAAAGATGTTAAAGGCATAATGTGGGTTTTTTGCAAAGCAGGTGGTCAAACAGAGTCACGGCTGACTGCTCTGAGCGCCCCCTGCTGCTACAACATTCAATTCTGAATAAAATATATACCAACATGTTTTTGAATGAATGATAACAAATATGATTAATTTTTTTATGACAGCTCAGCTCCAGAGATGCAGCAGACGTAGTCAGACTCCAGTCTGAAAACGTGGTTTAGTTTCAGTTGTGCTGATCATTAACAACATGAGCAGAAAACGCTGCTTCAACAGTAAACTTTGGTCAGTTATGACGACGACACTGTCGTTTATAATGCACTCTCTGAAGGAACACTGAAGAGAACATGGAGTCCACACAAACATTTTAAACACTTCCTTGAGTTCCACATTTTAACTTAAGTGCACAGTTGAGGATATGGAGACTTCATGCATAGATCCTTCAAAAGGAGAGGAAGTGTCAGAGGAAGACGTCAAAGGAAGAGACGATTGTCATCGGTAGGAGATTCATCCCAAAAGAAACATCAGTCTTCATTATCTACGAGAGGGAAACATGACTCGTTATTATCTACGAGAGGGAAACAGAACTCAGCTTTTATCCCAGCTTTTCGAAACATTATCCAATGCCAACATAGACATTTCAGCTTACCATTAAAATGAAAATATGCTAACCTTCTTGATACACTCCATCCGCCATCACCAAATGGAGGATGTTGGGATACAAATGCTGATGCTCGGTACCCAGAATCCTCAGCACCAGACTGGAGCCCAGGTCGATGTTCTCGTCTTCATCTTCATGTATGGCCTTGAGTATCAGGACAAACAAACATCATTGTTTTTGTTAGCCTGAAGGTTTGAGTGAAACGTAGACGTTTATTCATCACGGACAGAGATGAATGAATGACCTTCATCTCACCTTGATCTTGTTGTAGGCCTGGATGAACTTCTCAAAACCCATCTGCTGCTCCAGGTTGAAGCGCAGCTCTTCCAGACGACTGAAGATGCTGTCATAATGTCCAGTGTCTCCACCCTGGTCTTCTCCACTGCTGTCTGGTACCCAGAATTTGGAAAGAGCGACAGTTAACACTCACAAAGCCAAAAGAAAGGACAGAGAAAACAAACTGTGATTTTAGCTACTTTGGTCTGAACTAAAATCACTGATTTTCGCTACGCACTTTGGACCAAACTAAAATAATTGATATTCTCTATGGACTTTGGTCTGAACTAAAATCCCTGAATTTTTCTATGAGGTTTGGTGTTTCCTGAACTCCTGTTGTGGTAAACCATCTGGGCTTTAGTGAAGTATTAGTTCTGTAAAGATGCTAACATAAGTTGACGACTCAGTTGCCCAGGTTTTTTAACTAACTGATGGACTGGTCAGTCCAGTCTTGTCCTCACCTGAATGCCACTCTTCATTAATGGGGCAGTTACTGTGGTTCTCTCCTTCCATACCATTGGACAGCGGCTCTCCCACCTCCTCATCTCCAGGACTTCCATTGGAGCATTCTTCCTCCTCCTCCTCCTCCTCATCTGCCTCCTCATCTTCTTCCTCCTCCACATCTTCATCATCGTCTTCATCTACATTCATCAGATTGTTGTCTTGGTCTATGTCAGGAGTGACTTCATTTAAAACCGATGCATTTCCGTTGAAATCTCCTGCTCCCTCCTCTGGAGTGTCCCGCATCACATCCTGGTCCTCCTGCAGGAGACGCTCCATGGACGCTCTGATGTTCCTCAGGTCCTCATCTTCATAAGCCCTGAGAGAAGATGACATTGGAGAGTACAAACTAACATGTGTTCACAGTTGACTCAGCTGTGGACTTACTCTTCAGTCTCAGACTGCTCCTCCTCTTCCTCCTTAGCTCCATCCTCCAGGTCTTCCATTTCCATGTTGTTGTCTGGAGGAACATCAGCCTCAGCTGCTGCAGCAGAATCCTGGAGAGCACTGAAGAGTCGACTGAGGTCTGGCAGAGAGCAGGTCCTCAGCATCTGTGGGGATTAAAAGGGGTGAAGGGGTGTGAGGATGACCTCAGTCACAGTTTAGAAAGAATGATGACGCAGGAAGGTTCAGTGGAGTCATGCTGACTCAGCTGAGGTCAGACCTCGGCTGTGGAGGTAGATCACAGACTGTCATTATGTCATATAACACAAACATATTCAAATTTAAAAATATCTCTAACTCTTTTTATTTTACTGACTTCCTGTTTGATGAGTCGCAGGTCATAAACATCTGCTCTTTGTTAAAAGAAAAAAAGTTCTTCTAAAAAATTAAAATGTCTGTCGGTTCATTAACTTTTATAAAAACACTAGTGCAGACTCTGGGGCGGGGCATTACCTTTGGATTATTGGCATCAAACATGCCTTGGGACAGACCAATGAGGAGCGAGCTGTGAGGTTTGGAGCGCAGAGGGGAGACGGAGCGAGAGCGTGATGTCAGAGAGGACGAGGAGTCCTCCACCGAGGACTGAGCCGAGAGGGCGGCAAGGGCGGCGGTACGCCTGTGGACGGGAGAGCAGAGCTTGACGAAGAGAGGCTCCTCCCACTGAGCCGCTGCTGCGGAGACACAGAGGAGGAGTTAAGTTAAATATTAATAAGAAAAAAAAAAGTTTTTAGATCTGATCGTCTCTCACCAGAGGTCTCTGCTTGTTTCTTTGCACATTTTTCACCCTCTTTGTTGACTGTGGCGCTGCTATCGCCCTCTGGTGGCCTGGAGGAAAGATTAAAGTTACAGAAAAATAGTTGGTGAAGTTGGCTGACACTCACACCAAAGTCCAGAGAGAAAATCAGTGATTTTAGTTCACAGTAATAAAAAAACAACTTAAACATTCTTTGAACACAAGTAAAAAATAAACAAAAGAATATTCACAGTGGCTGCTGGACCGCCAGCTCCTGCTTGTCCTCATCTTCTTCCTCCTCCTTCCACGCCAGTTGAACACCAGCAGGGGGCGGGCAGTCCTGTTTGGGCGTCTCATCTAAAACCAAAGACTCCACATCTGCTGGATCTGACATCAAACCACAGCAATCAACTGTCAATACTGTCAAACTGAAAATATGTCAGAGAACTTCAGCTGCTCTCAGATGGAAGTCTGACACACCCTGAGTCTGTGTGAGGTCAAAGGTCAGCGAAGCAGTCTCTCCGTTGACCGTCACAGATGTCTCCTGAGCTGCAGGTGGTTTGGGCTGAGAGGCTGGATCTTGGTCAGGTGCTGGAGACCAGTTACAATCATCTGCTCAGAGGAGGACATTACCATCAGGACAATGTTGACAAGTGTTAGGACCAGTGGAGTTAGAACCAGGATCTAACTAACCCTGAACCATGGTCAACTCCTCCAGCTGTTGAGTAAGAGGCTGCAGCTCTGCCTCCTTGAGGAGCTTCAGGACCTGAGAATCTGGGCTGGATGGCCACACCTTCCTCTGAGCCTCCTGCTGCAGCTGGATGACCCCTGACGTTTCCTCTGAGAGACAAACACACTGATCAGCTGTGCACCAGTCCCCCCTCCCCCTCCTTGGAGGGAAGAAAACTCTGACTTTCTATGTTGGCTATGATCACATCAGATTCACTCTGCAGCCAGGCTCAAGGGTTTGTCTCCTACTCACAGGGAGGCAACCCCCCCTCAACCCCACAACACACACCCACACTCAGCAATTACGCTTCAAGAAAAACCACCTCAATGTTGTTGAGAACAATCTTGAAAAACAGTACTGTGACATGTACTCTGATCATGTAGTAATACACACAACATTTCACTAGATCCTGAATAATCATAGTCTTCAGTATTCTCAGTGAAACTAATCTAAACTCTTCTCAGATGTGGACCACACACCCATGGTGGTGAAGCAGGTTTCCTCCAGAGTCTGCTGAGCCACAGGGACGATGAGTGGAACTCCAGCCTCCCACTTCTTCCTGTCGCCACCAGAGGGCGGTCTGTCTTGCACTGACAGAGGGGTGGCTGTTGGGGAGAAAAAGTCTGTTACTACAATTGTCTGCAGCTCTTCATTTGTAACAGTTCTTCTCAAATGGAGGGGCTGAGCCCCAGCGGTGAGGAGGGCGTGACAGGCTTCCAATGAAATATGGCACACAGGACATAAGTGTACCACTGCTGTAATGCTTGAATGATAACAAGCCTCTAGTCACTAGGTGGCAGCACCTCATACAGTGATTTGTACAGATTAAATATACACGTTATCAGGTTGTCAATAATATTTCACTTCGCAGGGGCGGAGGTGCGTGAAAACATTTCTGTCCCCAAGGGGAGGCATGACAATAATTGAGAACCACTGATTTATAGGAACCTTTTTAAAGAATGTGGCTGAACTTTGACCTCACACTGCGACCTTCTTACCGTGTGTTGTTTCACACATTCCTGCGAGTGTTTCCTGAGCAACAGGAAGTACTGGCAGTCCTGCTGCATCCCACTTCCTCCTGTCGTCGTTAGAAGAGGGCTGGTTCTCCGTGTCAGACTGGTTCTGCGGAGGAGCAGGGCCTGGTTCGGTCGGAGGAGGAGCAGGAGGAGGGAGTGACTCCACTGGACCCTGTCCTTTCAGGTTCTGGTTGAGTCGATGCAGAATCTGCTTCTTCTCAGTCTGTGAGGATAAAAGTTATAGACATTCATTTATCATTCCACTCTAAGAGTCAGAACAGAAAAAAATATCAATTAAGTTCAGAAAAACAAACTAACACTAATAAATTTTAAGGGGAGGCCATTAATTTTCTAACGTTGATTAAGGATGTACTTCCTGTTAATGAGACCCTGGGGCAACACACACATACAGGGCTCCTATTGGACAGTAGCACCTGTCAATCACACTCTGATGTGTAACTGCGTCTTCAGTGTGGGGTAGTTCTCTCACCTGGACACCCGAAGACGTCTCAGTCAGATGGGTGGTTAGTTTGGGAGGAGTCATCTGTCAAAACAACCAGGCAGAAAAAATGTTAGAAAGAAAAAACTACAGGGTGAAGAGAGAAAGGACAAGGACACTGACCACTCCCACGTTCTTCAGGGCAGCAGTCATGGATATGTCTGGGGTGGAGGGTTTGGGTGGAGTGGATGCTACAGCTGTTACCACAGTCTCTGTCTGAGGAGGAGGACTCTCGGACGAGGAGGAGACAGGAGCTGCTGCAGGTGTGGCTGCAATCATGCCAACCTTCAACCCTCGAGCTGCAAGCTGCCAAAACACACAGGTGAAGTAGAGCATGTACACTTGACTCATCACTCAGGTATCTCCTGTCACCTAAGACTTCTCAATCTCATCCAGTGGACAGTCAACCAGTCTGGACTGATGAAGACAGAGAATGTAATGATCTCACATGTTCCTCCCAGGCTTTCTTCTCCCTCTCGTAGGCCTCCCTCCTCTTCTTCTCCAGCTGCTCCTTCAGAACAGCAGCACGAGCGTTGGCCTGAGCCTGAATCACATGACACAGAGAGTACTCAGTGACCAGAGTACTCAGTGACCACAGTACTCAGTGACTACAGTACTCAGTGACTACAGTACTCAGTGAACACAGCAACACAGGAACTGTGTTGTTTGTGTGTTTCTGTCATACAGCTGTGGTCACACGGGGGGAGGAGTACCAAACCTCACCTTGACAGCCTCAATCTTCTTCCTCCTTAACTCTGCCTCCTCGCTGGACTCCGGACTGTCGGAGCCATCACTGTCCACCTGCAACAGAAACCACAGAAAGGTACAAGTTCAAAAAAGGCTTTGATGTTGGTCAAAAGATAGAGGGGGGAGGGCCAAGGAGGGCCCGAGGGTTTGGGGGCACAAACCTTCTCTCCTCTGAGTCGAGCTCTGATCTGCTGACGTTCATTGAAGTTCAGTAAACGGATCTGACGCAGTTTCTTCAAGTACTCCTGGAACCAAGACACAGAAATGTCACACACTGTACAGTAAACAGACAGATCGGGGGCAACACTGACACCTGCAGACACATTCAAACTTAAAACAAAGGCAAATAATTGTCATTCAACAAAAAGCAGGATTAAAGGTGGACGTTCAGGACCGAGATCTTTAAAGGTCTGCTCTGGTTTTCAGTGTGGTTGTGTAGAACCTCTGGAAAAAAACCAAGGAAACTCAATCTACATCAAGTCTAGAAATATCTTCATGGCTTCATGTCTCTGGACAACAGACCTTAACAACAAAACCTCTGAAGGTCTTATTCTCCTACAAGTGTCAAGTTGTCTGGTCAACAACTGGTCACTGTCTGGAGTAAATGGATCAGTGACACAAACTGACGACAGAAGGCAGCAGTAGACCAGTAGCTCTTGTCTGGTCCACAAACTTTATTTTTTTTTTAAATTTAATATGTTATCACCTGCTGCAACCACACTTGAAAAGCCCTGGATTGTCCCTTTAAAGTCATCATTTGTAAGGTGTTACATTTAAAACTCAAAAGTTTAGGATTAAAACATAAAAATAAAAATAAAATCAAAACATATGAGAGCAATAATTACTGTTAATTACAGAAATGGAACAGGACAAATGAATGGCAGGCTGGGTGCTGGGTAAGCTGCTGTGGTGCATTATGGGAATTATGGAACATGACTCATGCCATGGGCAGGGTTGAGGGTTTGAGCCTGAGCTCCTACCTCCTCCTCTTTGTCCACTCTGGGTCTCCTGTACTGAACAGACCCAGTCCGAGTCATAAAGATGGCAGCCAGGCTCTGGCGAGTTCCCTGTTTACATTGTTCAATTTTAGCAACATTGGCCACAGCGGTCACATGACCAGCCCCCTCCAATCACCACCTCATTCCAACATTAACATGTAAAGTCAACAGTTCAAGGCTCTTTCAATAACTTTCAAGATCAGTGTTCCAGGTCTCCTAGCCCCTTACACCTGGACACTGCAGAGTAAGGTCAAGTCAAGTCAAAGGTCATACCAACTGTCCCTCAGCACGGACTTTGTTGAGCATGGCTTCTCTCTTACGCTGTAGAAACTCCTCCACTTGATTGGCTCTATCTGCAGCCATCTGACCTTTCTGTCTGAAAACAGTCACATGGAGAGGAAGGGGTGAGACAAGGGGAGAGGAGGGGGTCATAAACAGGAAATGGCTTTTTACTGTAAGCTGTAAGGCAAACACACTCAGAAGAAGATTTGACATTAATAGAATTATCAGAGAAACTGTGAAGAGTGTGTGTTATGATAAACTCCTGTAGGAGGCAGAGTGGTTGACCCCAAGGAACACCATACAGTGTTTGTCACTCAAACTTCTGTATTCAAAGTCTATCTTGCCCTAATTAAAGTCTGTAGTCTGTAGTACTAAAGTACTAAAGCATTTTGTGCTCCTTGGACAACATCAGTACTGAACTGACCTACTGATACGGGCCTGGACAGTGACGTACTGCAGCCTCTGGAGTTCTCTCTTGATCACATCATGACTTAGATGGTAGGTCGGTCCGTGGGGTTGCACTGTTCCAACAGAAACTGGTACCCTAATAACACACACACACACACACACGCAGTGCCAGGTTTAATAGATACAACGATTGAAGGTCAGTGCTGTTCTCAGGGTCAGTACTGCTACTTCAGGTTGCAGTATTAGTTATGCAGTATGCAGCCCCCCCTGATAACGATGTCAACATTTTCCCAGAGTGTGGACTCAGACACGGGGACAGGATCAGTCTTACCGTCTGGGACTCGCTGGAGCTGGTGAAGGTCCATCTCTGCCGAGGTCTTTGGACTGTGGTTTAGATGTTTGGTCCAGACCGGCCTGGTAGGAATCGTACGGGCTTTGGCTTGATACCTGGGATGGACCTGGACCCTGAGCGTAGGCTGGTACAGAGGGACCAGGACGAGCAGCCCTGTGTCGCACACCTGCAAAACACTGAGGAGAAGACTGACCTGAGCACAGACCACCGGGAAGTTTGAATTAACTTGACTTGAACTTGTTGACACCTGAAGAGTCCTGTCAAAATAAAAGTCTTTAAAAAGGTCAGAGGGGAGACGATCAGCTTATAGTGTACAGTGATTCCTCTCCTATTGCAGTAGCATTCCAAGACCCACCACGAAAAGGGAAACTCTAAGAAGTAGGAGCGAGATAGTTTTCATATTATTACCTAAGTATTTCCCCTTTACAAACCTCCCCCACACTGTTAGACTGTATTACCGTTTCCCACAGTTATATACACAGTAGAGTTGTAGAATGGAAATATAAGACATGCATATTACGTAAATAAGTTAAATACACAAAACGGCGGAGGTAAGCACTCAGCTGCAGGAGGGAGAGCACGGGAGTAGCGACGCAGGTGCAGCCCTGGACGCAGGTGAGCGCAAATGGAGTAATCAAGTGAACAAAGGACTTATATGAAAGCCAGGTTTAGGTTAGAAAATGTTTTTTATCATGAAAATAATGAAAATATTTTTAAAAATTACTGTAAAATAACGAACGGATTAAAAATAAAATCCCAGATGTACCGAGGGAGCGAAAGGAGAACCATATAAAGAGGGAACACTGTATGTGCTGGTCACTGTTTGGGTCACAGTGACCTTGACGATCTTTAGACTTGTTTTAAATGTTTCACTTTCTGATCAGTCCAGTCTAGAACCGACATAGAGACCTAGGTACCTTCTTCTCTGGACTGCTGCCTCCACTTGAACTCAGGACGTGTTTCCAGCCTTGTTCTCGAGCCTGGTTTATACGACTGATCTGAAGAAGGTGACAGTGATGTTAAACTTCTCAATATTTGTGTCATCAAACATATGAGTGAATGTTCACCTTCTCCTTCTCGTATCTCTTCATCTGCTCTGCTCTCAACAAGAACATCTGAAGAAGGACATGTGACAGAGACAGGTCAGAGGACACATGGACCATAGAGACAGGTCAGAGGTCAGAGGACACATGGCTGCTCTTCTCACCTGCTCTCTCTGTTTCCTCTCCTTCTCTATCAGCTCCATCCTCTTCTTTCTCACCCCCTCCTGCATCGGGGTCAAAAGCATGAAGAACAACCCTAAGGCACAGGAGTGAGGTCAACAAGAAAAAAGACTCTGTGGTAAAAGGACTCTCTGCCTCCAGTCAGGCAGCAGGACAGAAGGGAAAAAACAGGCAGAAGAACAGGCGGAACACTGGTTGGGAGAAGGATCAGGCCAGGGTCAGAGGTCATACAAGGGTCAGGGTTAGAGGGCAGAGCCAAGGGTCAAGATTTAGGAAGGGAAATACAAGATGACACCACCCAGAGTGAAGATAACCAAGTCAAGTGGGGAATAGCTAAAGGTTAGCCACAGGGAGCTAGTTTTCATCCAACACTGTCAGAATTCAATGATCAAATATAAAAGGATCAAAAACTTCAAATTCAAAAGTTTGAATTTCCTTCCCTAGATCAAAAACAATGGCAGAGAAGGAGGATGGGGGCTACGGGGCTGGAACACACACACATAAATAAGTAAATATAGAGAGCTTCTTATATGCATGTGTGTGCGTGCGTGTGTGTTTGACAGTCAGCTTCTGTCGGCCTCTCAGCTGTACCTCGTGTTGTCTCCTCTCCTCCTCGTCCTCTCGTCGTTTGGAGGCTGCGGGGGGAGGAGCCTGAGCGACATATGACACTGGGGTTCAGAGGTAGCTGACACACACCACCATGTAAAGACACACTCAAACCAACAAACACAGATGGAAGAAGCCTCTGACATACTGCTCATCCAGTCTAGACTAACATCAGATACCAAAGAGTGGTCTGGACTAGTGGTCTGGCCTAGAACACCAGAGAACATCTGTACAAACCTTAACCATTGGAAGTCAAATCATCAGCTTAAAACACTTGTTAGTTTAGTATAAGACACGGCCATGAATCAGACCACATCATCTGAGGAGGGACCACTGTGTCAGGACTTTAAGACTTTTCTGATTCTGGTCCAATATGGAGGATCCGGCCCAGTTCACTGACCGCTTTGTGTTTGAGCAGTGCTCTCCTCTCCACAGGCTTCTTGGCCGCGTCCGACACCTTCCTCACAGTCAAAGGCACTCCGTACTTGGCAGCTGGTTTGGTGATCTTCTGGGCTGGAGGGAGTGGGGAGCACCCTGGAGGAGGACGTTTGGCTGGACGGTGGAGGAAGAAGAGAAAAAGAGATGTAACAACAGTCAGTCTTCCTCAGGTGGAGACGAGGACCAGTGGTCCAGGTGTAGGTTCTAGTTGAACATCTCACCTGTTGGTCCGTGGGACTCACTGACTTTGGGCTGTCTGTGTTGAAAAGAATGTTGGAATTCCTGAGCAATGAGCTGGAGTCAGGAGACAAGAAAAGACAGTCAGTCCACTCATGCCCACTCTCAGGTCTCATCTAGAGTCTGCCCCAGACTGAGAGTCTGTCTTCACCTGTGGTGTGAGAAACTTCTGGATCCTGGTGGACAAGAATGGAATGTCCAAAACACTGCTGACGGACGGCCGCTCTCTGGGATTGCGTTTGAAGAGCTGTGCCAGCAGAGAGCGCAGTTCCTGGGAATAGTGGACGGAGACGGGGGGATAGGAGCCACGGATGATCTTCAGCACCAGGTTCTTCATGTTCCCAGCCTCAAACTGAGAACAAACATGGGTCCAAGAGTAAAGATTAGCAGCAAGGATTTCTGTTGTGTATAAGATCTGGTTAGAAACCATGAAAGCTGACAAAGACAACACACGCCATTCTGGGACTCTCTCTGCCCTGCTGGTTAATTGTGTGTATTACATCAATGAGTGGTCATTAAAAGATGAGAGTAAATACTTACAGCATGCTTTAGTGTGCACATTTCATACAGGACACAGCCTAAGGCCCAAATATCACTGCAGGAAGAGGGACAGTGGGAGGACCAGAGGAGAGAGAGGAGGTGCAGGTGGATCAGACAGAGGAGGATTCTGGGAAAGCTTAACAACACTTGTATGTTCACAGTAAAAAAAATGAAAATCAAGTACATGGAGTTACAAAGAGTTCATAGAGAAAATCAGTGATTCTGACAAACATAATTTGTTGACTGATTGCTTTGTTATGATCTACCCAAGTGACACAAACTAACCACGGGAGGCAGCAGTGAATCATATTTTCTCTATAGACTATGAGATGGTAGAGTTAGTGGTTTACAAACTTACAGTATCAGTCTCTCACAGTGGGAGAGATAAGACATAATTTTACATGATCATAGTTGTGAAAAGGTGAAGACATTATAATGTGAGTCTTTTCTTCTTCAAATATCTATCATCATCAGCGGAACCAGTAGAACACACATCCTCAGAATTCATTTTTTTCTATAGTGTAGTGGTTAGCACGCCTGTCAGAGAGCAGAGAGTCCTGGGACCAGTATAGTATGATTTTATTTTTACCTTTTGTTGTTGTATGGTTTGTTCTCACAGATCTCTGGTGACAGGTAGTAGGGAGTACCGATGCATGTTCTGGCCAGTTCTACTGTGCTATAGAAAAAAAAGGCCAGAAGAGTCAACTGAAACCTAGGCTTTACAGAGATGTGTGCAGATGAATCCCACACTGACCTGTTCAGGACCCTGGCTATGCCAAAGTCGCCTAACTGAACGGTTCCGTCTTTGGTCAGAAATATGTTCTGAGAAAACAGGAACAGATGAATGAATGGACACATCCACCACAGGTGGAGTGAAGGTGCCGTGGCTCCAGCCTGTGTGAGTAAATACCTGAGATTTAATGTCTCTGTGCAGGATTTTTCTGTCATGGACATGTTTCAGGGCCAGGCAGATCTGAACGAACCAGTCCAGGATCTGAGCAGAGGAGGAGACGGAGCAACAAAAGTGATGTCCAATCAAAACACAGCAGTTCATAAAAACAGAGAATAAATGAAGAAAAAGAAATACAGGAGTGGCCGTGGTTTTCAAAGACCAGACCATAATACTATTAACAGAAAAATGAAAGGCAATATAACAATATAAAATATGACAACATGGCCCAAGGCACATATTTTTTTCTATTTAAAGAAATAATCCTAATATAAAATGTTTTTTTAAATTGTATTTAAATCATGATTTGTTGTTTTCTGCATCATTCAGTCCAGAATACATTTCACCCATAAGAACTATGAAGAGTATTGAGTTCAGTAGTGAAAATCAATATGTACTTTAATGAGAGCAGACAAACATTAAATAAGAATATTTAAGGTACACAGACATTTTCAAGCACTTTCAAACTCGGCTTCATGTCTTTCCAGGTTTTGATCCGTTCAGTTCATGTTAATAAGGTGTTTTTATAACTGGAAACACCAGGTGTGTAGTGTGTTTAGAGATAAATGTTTTAGTAAATGTCATGGTGTGTTACACAGTGAATTAATTATTCATTCTGTCAAACGTGTCCATTTTAAATGCATATTTATTATGGATGTCCGATATTAACTTTTTGCCAATCTCTGATATCAGCCCATGATGCTGTCACCGGGGCATTGAACTATTTTTAGAGCACACATCATTTGGCAGAACCAAGGCATTGCATTATTGGGTTTTCAATATCAGAGGAAAAATCAATAACAATTCTTACAGATATTACAAAATGTGCTAATATTGGGTCGATAATATCGGTTGGCTGCTTTTATTATATATTAGAAATGTATTTTTAATTTAATCCTAAAGTTTTAGATTGAAAACAAACTGACTTGGAGAAATAGTTCCAGTTCCTTCCAATCTCACCTGCTCCTCTGAGAAGAGAACCCCCTTCTGTGAGTTGATCTTCTTGAACAGATCTCCACCTTCACAGTAATCCATCACAATGTAGAGACAGCCTGCTTCTGCAGAGATACCACGTCTTCATGATTTATTCAGTGTTCAACAGGAAGTTGTTCACAACATTTCCTCGACGGTTCTGTCTTCTTCTGGTGTTCTGTAGGTGATCAACTTACCTTGAAAGGACTCCTTGTACTGGACAATGTTGGGGTGACTCATTTTGGCTAAAAGAGCCACTTCTTTTCGAGACTCCTGTCTCTCTCGGGTCGGCATCTGAAAAACCGAATAGCTCAGTGAAATAATGATTTGATTTTGTGCTGGTAAAATAATCACCTAGGTTTTTGAAGTAACTTTAGTCTAAGAGTACATTAGAGGAGACAGCAGCTTACTCCAGAGATGCTAATCTCCTTAATGATGTAATGACGTCCATCTTCTTTACATTTGACCAGTATGGCTTTTCCAAAGGAGCCCTCTCCAATCTTCTTCACCTTTTCGTACTTATCCATGTCACAGGGATGAGCGGCTCCACCTGCTGGCTCTGCAAAAGCAGAACAAAAGTAGAAAAATCGAAATTATTTCATTGTTTTTACTGAGCAGCAGCAGTTAAGTAACCATTCATGTTTAATTGTTGTTGATCCTGATGAAGTTTAGTTTTGTAAAGCATACCTGGGCACTGCACAGTCGTGTGAGTTCGTTGTTAAATTAACATTTATTTATATTTAATCGGTCACAAGTTTTAAAGTTATGTCTATCTTTGTCAATGCTATTTTAGAAGTGGACAAGTTGTTTCTTGGTGTAAATATTTAAGACTTTTTCAGAACAAGAGTTATTGTTCAGGAAAATCTAAGCATTTTTTTCCTGATTTAATTTGTTTTTTGTAAATTTTGTTTGTTTGTTTTTTGATTATTCCAACGACTGATAAACCATAACACAAATAAACAAAAGAAGAATGAGAAAACTTAAGGACATTTAAACGGTATAGTTACGTACAAAATTATTATTCGTAAATCACATCGGTATCAGATTATTTTCGCTGACATCCTTTAGCTACAGCTCAGAAACACAACACTGATAGCTGGAATTGCTAACATAGCCAACATGCGACTGTAGAGAAAATATCGTACAACAGCTGAAAAAACAATAGACACCTGGAGTTTTGTGAGAAAAAATTGAGCTATGTGTTGAGTGTGACGACGTTTAAACATATGCAGTGTGTTTTTTATTCTTACCATCAGTTTCTCTCTGGTTTCAGCCCCTATCAGTGAGCCTCCGCCGCCGCTGCAGCCCTGCCACTGCTAAGCTCCACCCACTTGCTCTATCTAGTGTTGGCTCTCAGCTGCTGCACTTTGATTGGTCGTTTCATAGTTTCTCATCGGTCTATTGGATTTAATAAATGTCAGTCAATTTTAGCGCCTCACCCAACTCATTAATTTCTTGTCGTTTTTTTCTCTCTTACCATAGCAACCACAAGCACAAGAGAGGAGTCGTAAAATAAAATAAAATAAAATAAAACACAATGACTAAAAACACAATTAAAAGATAGATACACAAATGAAAGTGCATAGAATAAAATAAAAAGAACATTGACAAATATTGTCAAAAAACGTTTTTATTTAGAAATTAGTACATAAAATAAACATAATGGAATATTATTTGGAATAATTGTAATATAAAAAATACAAAGGGTCGTAAAATAAATAAAACATAAAGACAAAAAGCTAAAAGTAAGCAAAAACAGATAGACCATTAGCCAAGAGACTAGTTCTCAAATTTAAGTTTTAATCTAAGTTGGCTTAGACAAAATGCACATTCAGCTCAAGGACAGTTACAGTATTTTGTACATTAGGCCTGTTTTCACTGAATAAACATATATAAATCCCTTATGTGAATAAGTGAACCCTAGGCTGTTTTTAAAGCTGTTGTTTGACTATATACTATATAAGTTTTTACAAGTATTGTATATTTACTGAACTATCCGCTTACTGGCGTCCGCGTCAAGCACTGACGACCACGCCCCCTGTTTGTTTTGAAGTGTATGGGGTCTCAATAGTCTGTGTGCAGTTCGTGGTGTGTACGTGCAGCAACACAAGCATCGGTTTTCCGTTAGCATTAGCAGATGACGCACTGAGCTAAACCATGGCTCCTTTTCCGGACGAAGTGGATGTTTTCACTGGACCACACTGGCGCATGAAGCAGCTGGTGGGTCTGTACTGCGAAAAGGTCGGTGACACTAAATATACCTCGTTATTAAAACAGCCAATATATTCTTAATTCCAGCGTAAATTGTTATGACGCTGTTTGGCCCGCGGACGAGCTATATCAGTTAGCATGCTAGTTAGCAAGCTCAGGTCTGTTGGTGGAAACGGATGCTGTGGATAAAACACAATATGAAATCAACTGTTTATTTTTGTCACTCAGTAACATAAACTAGTGTCCACATATAACGGTTAATTCATCAGTTGTAAAACAAAAAACAAAAACAAAACTGTCAACTATTCAGCTAACGTTGGCTATATCCGTCCAACATTGGTGAGAAATGTGTAAAACGGTTTCTTGCTATAAAAAAATGACTTTTTTTTAACGTAGCATTTTGGATACATAAGGAAACCGCAGACATATGAGGAAACTTGTAAGCGAATTGTTATTAGATTAAACTAATATTTAAAATGGGTGTGTTGCATTGGGATTAAAGAAGCTAAAACTAAATCACAATTATAAACTGTGCAAAAGAACTGCACAGAAGAACACCTCTGTTGATTTTGAATGATCTCTAAAGCAACTACTTATTTCCCAGTTGATAAAGTCAGTGAACATTTCCACAGTGGTGTTTAGTGTCACAGATTTTACATTATTTAAACAGTATAGTTACAGTATATTCCAGACTTTGCAAAGGAATTCTGTTCTCCTGTGTTCAGTGTTTACGTGGACCTACCTGCTAGACAGGGCTTCTTGTACAACAAACTTCCATTCTTTATCAACCATTACCCATAATTTCACACAGTTGTCATTTATTGTGGCATGAGTTTTCACATCAACCAACAAAAACAGCTCTGATATTGCACAGCTCTTTGTATAAAATCAACTGTGTGTATATTTCAGATCAAGATGTTAAAATAAAAATATCAATGCACAATAAAAAAAACTTTGATTTCTGTGAGTGTTTTTTCTAAAAAGCTGCTGCTCTCTCTTATGTTTGTCCTGCAGCTCTCTCAAACTAACTTCTCCAACAATAGCGATTTCCGCTCCTTCCTTCAGTCACTGTGTGTCACCTTCAAGGAGTTCAAGATGCATGAGCAGATTGAGAACGAGTACATCATTAGCCTGCTGCAGCAGCGCTGCTGCACCGCCTACAACGTTCACTCCGACAACAAACTGTCAGAGATGCTGTCCCTCTTTGAGAAGGGTCTGCACAGCGTGAAGGTAAACACTGTACTTTAGATGACAGTGGAGAAGTGCTTTGACTGACATGAGTACAGCAATAGCAGCAGCAACAGGATAGTGAGGGAAACGCTGTCATTACACAGTTGTAGACAGACCACAGCACTGACAACCACTTCAGGATTGTTGTTTTTTATGTTCAGAAGCTAATTGTTAAGACAGTTATTATGATCTTTAGACACAGAGTCTTTTATCATACATGGTGTTTATATAAGACCAGGTTGTTGCAGAGCAGAACAGTCTGGTCATGTACTGGTCATGGACAAAATGACATTTACAATGTTTTTGATACTTTTTCTGGGACTAACAACTGTTGTATTTTTAGAGTGAATATGAGCAGCTTAACTATGTCCAGCAGCTGAAGGAGAGACTGGAGGCTTTCACCCAGGACTTCCTGCCACACATGAAGGAAGAAGAAGAGGTAACAATGTTCACAGTCATAAAAACAGTCATTTTCCATCACTGTCGTTGTACTGTAGAGCCTTCATCTACTGCACAGACTAGTGTGGTGAATATGAGTTAAACTAATGAGGTGGTCTGCAGGTGTTTCAGCCCATGCTGATGGAGTACTTTTCCTATGAGGAACTGAAGGACATAAAGAAACAGGTGATGGCTCAGCACTGCAGCCAGCAGCAGTGGAGCTGTGCTGCTGAGATGCTGAAGGGCTTCAGTCTGTGGAGTCAGGTGGAGCTGCAGAAGGCCTTCAAATACACAGATCACGTCAAAACGGATTATGGTTAGTCTGGAGGGTTTAATCTTGTCTTCGGGATAATCAGCTCTTTTCTTTTCCTGCTTAATATCATTTTTTTCCCCAGAACTGGAACACAAAACCCACCTTTCCACCCACATCTCCCAGCTGCCCACAGAAATCCTGCTGAGGTTCTTCCGTTATCTGAGCCCTCAGGATCTGTGTCGTTGCAGTCAGGTGTGCAGCTCCTGGTCCCAGCTCTCAAAGACTGGTTCTCTGTGGAGACACCTGTATCCTGTACACTGGGCCAGAGGTGAAACGAAGAACTTGTTTTATAAATGTGTTCTGCAGTGCTGTGTTCAGGTGCTGATGAGTGTGTGTCTCTGACAAAGGTGATTATTACAGCGGTCCACCAGGGGATCTTGACCAGGAACCTGACGATGAGTGGGTAAAGAGTCGGGTGAACGAGGGTCGAGCTTTTCAGGAGTGGGACGAAGATGCTGACGTGGACGAATCAGGTGACGTTTGTCTTCAGTTGTGCAGTGGTTCCCACGGTGGTGTGGGGTTGTTTTGTCTCTAACCGACTGTGAGGATGTGAGGATTTTCACCTGACCTTTAACTTGATGTTCTCACAGCTATAACAACTGGTTCCAGCGTCCTATGCTCTGTTTCAACACCACCTAAATAGTTGTTTGTTTTTGTTGTTGGTCAGATTTGTCGAACCACACCATCAGCTCTGCGGTGATAGGCACGGCCTGCAGAGAAAAGCGTCTTCTGAACGGACTCATTCAGAACCTTCTCCCGTCTGTAGGCTCGTCAGTAAAGACAATGGTTCTGGCCTACAGCTCCACTGTCTCCAGTAAAATGGTATAAAGTGTCAATCATTCTGTCTTGGCCCAGTGTCTGGTTACACCACTGTCAGCTGACCTTGGTTCTGTCCTGGTCCAGGTACGACAGATTCTCAGTTTCTGTCCCAATTTGACTTATCTGGACTTGACTCAGACGGATGTGACTGATTCTGCTTTCGACAGGTTACTATTATTACTAATTATTTTATTATTATTATAACTACTATTCTTAACTTTAAAGTGTGTTGACATTTCTGCAGCACACACCTGTTAGAGGTTCTTCATCTGTTCACCATTGTGTTCTTCCTCTGCCCCAGCTGGTCTTTTGGACCTTGTCTTTCCCTGCACCACCTGGATTTGTCAGGGTGTGAGAAGATCACTGACCTCACCCTGAAGAAGCTCTCTGTAGGCCTGGGTGATCTGACTCCGCCCACCTGCTCTGACAAACGTTCAGACCGACGAGCCAAGTTGCTGAAAAGCTCCACGGTTCCCATCACACTAATGGACGAGAGGAATCTGCGCCACCCTGTGGTCCGCAAACGGCAGGCATTTATTTTCAAGCAGGGGAGCGGGCGCTGGGGCTCCACCTGCACACCCACCCACGTCTGGGTCCTGGACTCTTCAGACCTCACTGACATTGAAGACGCCGCATGGAGCCGTCAGGGCAGCAGGAGTTCTCTGTCTAGGGCTGAAAACCTTGTGGAGACGCAGCTTATGGACTGTTGCTGTGTCTGCAGGAGGAACAGCAGGAGGCACTGGAGCAGCACCTCATACCTGCAGCATCAGGTGACTGCAGCCGCTGGTTCTGCAGAGATCTTCTGTGGTCATTCCACCTGCTGCTCTGCTGACGTTGCCTTCAGGACTTTAATCAGGCCTCAGTGTTCCTCAGGCTCAGGGGGGAACTCCGTGCCACAGTTTTGGACTAAATGCTCCTCCTCCGTGGGCCCGCAGTGCCCCGAGCCTGAAAAAAAGACTGACCAATCACGGGCAAGACGCTCACTGAGGTTCCTGAGTTTGTCTGGATGTTACCAGGTCACTGATTTAGGACTGAGGTAAAACAACATACACATGGTTTTTCACTTTTCACCAAAATAAATTATTTACCTTTTTATTCCACACTTTTCACCAAAAAATTAGAAAATAAATTATTTACCTTTTTATTCCAGGAGGTGTTGAAATGATAAAAAAAACTGTAAAAACTGTATAAAATATCAACACGTTAAGATTGAAAATGACGAAACAAACATAAACTATAATCAAAGATAATTACTATCATAAAAATGCTTCAAAGACAAGACCTTTGGTTTGTGTCAGATGAACTGGACGTGAAGTCACCGTCACACTGTCAAAAACACCCACTCTCTGTTGTTGAACCACTTCCTGTTGATACCGTAGAGACCAGGAAGTACAAACACAGAAGGTCAATCGTATATTACTATGTCCATAAAAATGTCAAACAGTCAGAGTGAAAATTTCTCTTCAGTCATGACTGTATCTGGATGAGGTTCAGTAGAACATGTGACACATGGTTCTTTCTAGTGTTCAGTCCGGTGGTTGTCAGTCTACAGTCCATCCGACTGTTGTGTCAGTCAGACTGTCAGTCGTCCAAGTCCACTCTGATCTTGGTGTTAGATGTGATGTCCCTGTAATCAGACTGTTGTTATTGTGGTTGTTTTCAGGGCTCTGTCTCAGCGTGGAGGACTTCCTGTCCTGGAGCACCTGAACCTGTCAGGCTGTCTCTTCATCACTGAGGTGGGGCTGCAGGAGCTGGTGTCAGTCTGCCCCTCCCTCAATGACGAACACTTCTATTACTGCGACAACATCAATGGTAACTCTAGTAGCACTCACACACACTCTCTCACACACACTCAGATCCAGGTCAGGTTTTTAGTCAATAGTGTTGACTGAAATCTGACCTCAGTGACAACGAAAAAGACTTCAATCAATAAAATCTATGTCAGGCACTAGGTGGTGTTAAATGAAACACTACAAAATACACAGACTGTGCAAAGGATTGTGGATAAAGTTAACCTGTTACAAAATCTGGACCTCTGTAGTCACTGAACATAAAATCACAACTCAGTATTTGTGTCTTGGCTGCGATCAGTGAAGTTCACTATACTATAGTACACTATACTATACTCCAACAGGGGGCTGTGGTCCCACCAGGGAGGTGATGAATGATTTTGTTTTTAATAAATGTCCTGCTCCACCTCAGTCACTTTGGTTCCCTGCTCTGTGGTAATGCTCAGTAGGAAGTTATATTTGTCAAAAAACAAATCAAAAGTACTTTGAGCTTACTTTGAAGTATTTATACTCTTTTTTCCATGTCAAACTCGAGCATTTGGAAAACATTTGTCCTAAATGCTGACCACTGGGTGGTGTCTGTCTCTCCTCAGGTCCTCACGCAGACACAGCGAGTGGATGTCAAAACCTGCAGTGTGGCTTCAGAGCGTGCTGCCGTTCAGGAGAGTAACCACGCCCTCTCCCTCGTCGACATCATCACTGACGTCTGTGTTTTTTTGCACTTTAATGGCGGGAAAAGCCGTCAGCTGTTTTTCTGTGTCACTTGTTTCCAAATGAAACTGTTAACGCTGCTCCTGTCTTTTCACAACAACTTCCCTCTGTCTTGTAGAAAAGGAATAAGAGCCAGTTGTAACCAGTAGACACAGGAACACCAGTGTTTGGTTCTTTGTTCTCACTCCTCGGTCTGGTTCTGGTTCTGTTCAACTCACTGTGACATCACTGTTGTTTTAATGGCATGGAAAAATAAACAGGAGTTTAATGACGACCTGACCATCACTCACTCATCATCAGTTTGTCTGTTTACATTGATTAGCTTCTTGATGAACCACTGCTATGGTTACTGACACTTGGACCAGTATCAACACCAGAACCAGTCTTATGCTGTGTCAGTATCTAGTCCTAGTTTTCATATTTGTGTTGATCTTTCAGTCCACAGTCTGGATCTGATGTCTGTACAGTGTGCAAATGTACCGTGATGCAGCAGGAAGTGACATCACATGCGGACCAGCGAGGCCAGGTACACCCATACAGACAGGACGTTGTTCGGGTATGGGTGCACGTACACGGCCAGAGCAAACTCCACGTTGGACGACTGGACATTGTGGACCCCGGTGCTGTAGACAGCCTCCACGATGGGCCGGACCTCTGAGAAAGGCAAGTGGAGCGGGAACCCTGAGATCTGAAAAACAGAACCACCAGCACAGTAAAGTTCCTACAAATCGGTTCCTCCACTGGTGTGCAGTTGTGAGACCTGTTGGCTGCAGACTCACCCTGTTATCTCCCAGCATGCTCTGCAGCTCGTGGCGGTGGGCCTCAGCCACATCTCGCCCTCCGCTTTGCTCCAGTTTTGGCAGGAAGTGTTTGAGGGTGGAAGTGCAATGGCGGTTCCAGCGGGTGGGCTGACGGGGGCGCCACTCCATAATCTTCTCCTTCAGTATCTTCTCAATTCTACCAAGACAAAAAAACAACAGAGTCAGAGTTGAAGTTGACAAAAAAAATTAATTTATCACCTTGTAGTTGAGTCAGAATAAGTTCAGCTGACAGAACGTACCGGTCCTGGAGTTCTGTGGCAGCTGTTCTGTCCGTGCGGCGATACAGCAGCTCCTCAGGCTGCAGACATGTTGACATGTAGGAAACAACGTCACATTAACAACAAGAAACTCTAACGTTAAGATGTCACTTTTCTAATGTTGCTGTGTGGTCTGTAGAAGACCGTACCTGAACACTGGACAGTCCAGGGTGGGAGAAGGAGCGGGAGAAAAATGGTTTCCACTGATTGGCTCTAGTCACGTCAAAGCTCATCCTCATTGGTAAAGCATATTCCTGGATGTTGAACCAAACCTGAGGGATGGGAGCAGACGTCGTCACAAGGAAAGAAACAGCTAGATGGACCACTGATTCTTGACCAGTGGTTCAAGAGAAACCACCAGGTGTATCCTAGAAACCATCCATTTTCACCTGACTGGTCTGAAAACTATTTATTTACTCCATTTGTCTTTGTCTACAGTATGTGGCAGTGACAGGCAGAACCATTAAGATACTCGTCCACATGGTGGCAGTATATGAGGGGGTTGGGAACCTATGGCTTGCGAGCCAGATGTGGCTCTCAGATGAATCTTAGCTGCATTTAACACAATAAATAATTCTGCTCATATTCAAGTAAAACATTACAGAAATCATAGTGTTAAAATAATGTTTAAAAAACATTTTTGTGTAATTGCGGTGGCAGCGTACTCTCTTTGCGGTAAAATCATCAGCTTGGTACGTCACCTTTTATTTCTGGCACAAAAAGTGAAAACAAAGTCAGTCGATTTTGTAGCAACACACATCTGACGCTGAAAATTTAAAATAAATAAAAGTTAATGATAAAATTAAAATAATTAAATTAATTAATTACAGGCCTCCTAACAACCGGGTTCACCTGTTCACCTAATCCACAGAGGTGTTGCATTTAATGACTATACGATGAATTAAAGGGGTTTTCTTACATGGTGTGTAATAAACTGTTTTTTATGACAACTGGAACCATATATTTATAACCTAATTACACATTTTAATCCATACATTTTTTGCACTAGAGCCAATCACATCAAAACCAAGTAGCACCAGAAGTCACATTGATGGTAAGAAGTATTTTGTGTATTGACTAGCTTCAATATAACACTTAAAAAAGACTTATTATACTATACAAATTCACACATTTAGTTGTATTCAGAGTAAAAAAAGAATTGAATGGCTTTTTATTTAATTTAAGGAAATACAAAAATGTGACTTTTTTGGCTCTCTCTGCTAAAATGTTCCAGAACCCTGCTATAAAGACTAAAAAAAAAGAAAATAAAAAGAAGTGTTGATCTTTGCTTCTTTCTTCAATTACTGAGTTCATCAGTGTTGTGTTCATCTAAAAAGGCCCAGGTTTTACAAAGTAAATTAAAAGTAGATCACTGTATTTTGTTACATTTACTTTTCTGACATTTCTGTTTGGTGCTGCGCTGTTGGGTATTTCTGATGTACAATAGGTGCAGTAGCTAAAAAAAACGGGAAACAAAGAGTTCCACATAAGAATGTCTCACGTTGTCAGGGTTGACCAGGCAGCCGACCATCTGCAGGGGGCAGAAGGTGTCGTACTGACTGTAGTACTGACCACTGCTGGGATTCCAGATCAGGTACCTGCTCTGCTCATAGGTCAGTACATAGGCTGTGGGTCCCTGTGGAACAACAACACAATCGGTACTTGACACAGTTAGCAGACAAACTACCAAAAATGGAACAGTAGAAAGTAATCAAATCAGAGTCAGGCTCAGTGTCTGATGTCATATATTCTTTGCTGTTGTATAGGCTACAACCCCATCACCGGACCACAGGAGGTTGGATCTCATTTGTGACCAGCAGTTGATCCAACCACGTTTAAAACATCTGTATCTCAGGTAATAACCATGATGTCATCATGATGTCACCAGATAGCCACTCCTGGTTCTCTGGTCTCCTCACCTCTGGTATGGCTGTGCCCATGATGAGCCAGGATTTCTTGCCCATAGACAGAAAGTAGTTGCAGAGGAGAACAGCATGTTCTTCTTCATCTCCTGCCAGCAGGGTGAGGAATTGCTGAAACAGAACCAAGAGTGAGGAACCAGGATTTATCAGCACTGGTGAGAACCTGGCAGGTGTGAAGGACTCTTCTTCAGGTCACAGCAGGTTACTGAAGAGAAACAGAACTCAGACCAAACTAAACATTAGAGAGATATAAATTATAAGCAATAAGAAAGTCATAGTTTTAATCATCAACAACAACAATAAAGAAGTGGCTTTATTATAGGTCATAATAGATACAAAAATACATCATTATATATAATCATTTATTATTATTATTATTTATGTAATAATAATAATAATAATAAATGATTATATATAATAATGTATCATAATGCATCATAAAAACAGTTGATGAGGAAACATCATCCAGAGACACACAACTACACCTGCGTGGCCTGAGTGTAATCACAACAACAACAACAACAATAATAATAATGAAGGGCTTCACTCACGTCACATGTGCTCCACAGGTCACAAGCGAAGGAGAAGGAAACTCTGTCAGGGAGAGAGGGAATGAGAGAAACAAAGCGAGCTACCAGAGCCTGGAAGACAAAAAACTGAAGATTATTAACTAAATAAAAAATATTTAAATACAGAAAGACAGACAGAGAGGGACAGACGGGGACTGACCGCAGCGTCCTGAGGGTTGTTGGGAGAAGCGTCCAGTAGCTCCTGTGGAGGGTTGAGTGGTCTGATGTAACGGGTGATGAAGACAGTCTTCCCGTTAAGGTCAATGACAGTGGTGACACAGGGTCGGTCTGGATGGGACTGGGTCGCATCCCGCTCAAATTTGACAGCAGCCTGAAGCAAACGCTCGTCCTCTTGACTGTCAAACTGAGGAGAGAGGAGAGGAGAGAGGAGGGGTCACTGAGGACAGATGGTCAGGGCTGAAGGGGGGACATGGAGGAGGACATAAGGACATGGAGGTGGAGGAGGAAGTTGTAACACACTTTTACCTTCACTTCCTTTAACTAGAGAGCAGAGCAAAAGAAAAACAAACAAAAAACTTGTGATACAAAGAAGATGAAAAGATAAAAAAAAAAATCACTGGTTGATACACACACAGATGAAGTCACAACAATAATCTTAACATTCTTCAACATAAGCATTGAAGTATCTCCGGGGTCAAAGGTCACTGACCTTCTCTCTGATGGACTCTCCCGGCACCAGGTGAGGTTCAATGGTGATGAAGAGTGTGATGAAGGTTCCTTCGCTCAGACTCCTCAGAACATCATAACCACTGTGGGCGTGGCTGCGTTCTCTACTGTAGCCCAGCAGAACTGCAGGAGTGTTGACCCTGAACGTTCCATCAATCTGAAAGATGTGGAGAACAAACACACAACCACTGACCCACACTGACACACAGGAGCAGGTGGTGTCAAACTAACAGACAGGGGTAGCTCTCTCACCCTGGACTGAGAGTAGATGGTGCTGAAAGGAATCTTCACAGAACCCAGCCAGTGTTTCTGTGCTGTGGTCTGAACAGACGTTCCTCCATCCCTGTCACTCTGAAGGAACAGACAGGAGACATGGGCTGAGGTCAACAGGACTGTTGTAGCTAATGCTAGCTCCGGTGTCCGTACCAGGACTGTAGTAACTAATGTTAGCGTGTCTGTTCTTACAGTAACATGTTATACATTGAGCGGATACTGAAGTACTGCAGTGATAAGAAACCTTTTCATTGATCATTTTAAACACAACCATGACCTCTGTTTTAAAAGAAAACATTCAAAACCATGGTCCAATCACTCCTTATCACTGTGATTAATTGCATCATCACATTTAACACTGTACAGTCTACATTCATACAGTATATTGGACATAAAGTTCTTCTCACCGTTCCAGTTTCGTAAACTACTTCATCAAATATGCTGATGAAGACCTCATCTTTGACAGACTGCAAACTGGCAATGCTGTAATCACCATTAGGGGCACTGTGGAGCAAAACAAAACAAAACCCTCACAATTACACACGTGAAGGTAAAGTCTGAGCAGAGTTTGGTTTGAGTGTGAAGTGAGTGTAGATGGAGATGAGAACCTGAAGGGCAGCTGCAGCTCCTCGTTCCAGCAGGGGTTCGGCCCGTCCGCTGTGGTCGTCTGAAGAACTGTTCTCTGGAAGGAAACCTCCACAAAAGGCCTGACTTGGACCTGATGAGAAGATAACGCACACTCACTTAAGTGGTTTAGGTTACAACATCCTAATCACACACCTGACACAATCTCAGGGTCAACGCTGAAGTCAGTGGTCAGAGGTACCTGGCCACCGAACCAGTCCCAGCCTTGGACAGCCCCCTGGGGTGACGGTCCTGGTTTACTGGGTAAAGAAACAGAAGTTAGTTTAGATACTAACCACCTGTCTGTGTCTGTGTGTGTGTGTGTGTGTGTGTGTGTGTGTTCACACGGACTTGCTGTGGGGCCTGCGGACGGGGACGTCGAAGGCTCTGATGATGTTGACCAGCAGTCGGATGTCTCCGTCGGACAGATTCTGAGCCGTCACCTTCTTCCTCTCTTTCCTCTGAGGTTTCAGCGGACGCTTGGGTTCAGCCAGTTTGAACAGGTTGATTCCCAGAATTCTAAGGATGAAGAAAACCAATGTAACAAACAGGCTAGACTGAAGGTCAGAGATGTGGGTGCTGAAATGCATTTCTCCTGGAAAGTATAGGATGGGAAACTACAGACATCAGTTCAGCTCTTCAGGAATCTTTAAATTCAGTTCTGAAGTGGGGACAGATTGTACACTGTGTTAACAGGAGGAGGAGGAGGAGGATGATGATGATGGAGTCATAATTATCTTATATGCATATGTATATATGTACATATCTGCATACATACATATATGTAGATAGATATATATATATATATACACATAAATACATGTATGTATGTATGCACATTTATACACACACACATACATATGTATGTATGTGTGTGTGTGTGTGAGAATGTAAATGTGTGTCTGGTCTGTGATAAATCCTGTGATGAATTCCTGGAGAGACTGAAACTGAGCAGCTCTACAGAAACAGACAGCGTCTACAGTTCTGGAGCTCAGGGAACCAACTAGAGGGAGAACCAGAGTCACAGAGATCAAACATACCCAGAACCTGCACCACTGAAAAAAAAACAAACAAAAAAAGATGATTGATAACATACAGAAAAGAACCTGTGCAGAGCTGACAGCCTGGCTGTCACTGGTGTACGTCAACACACTCGTAAATCTGTCAGTGTGTGTGTGTGTGTGTCTGTTCTGAGAATGTACTGATGGAAAGAGGACCACCAGAGTCAGATGTTCCAGAACATTCGCTGAGCCACAGGTATGAGGATCAAACAGGGCTGAGGTCCAACAGGACAGAACATTTATCGTAGACCAATAAAAACTGATGACCATTGTGACCTCCTCACTCAAAAGTAATTAGTTATAGTTAGTAGCTTCTAGTTACTAGTTAGTTATTTTTTAAGTTTAACTGTGTTTAAGAATCAGAGTTTTTTTCTGAGCAGGTTTCAGCAGCAGAACTTTACAGACTGGATATTTACTGCACCTCAACAGAGTACAGCTGCTACACATACTGTGTTTCAGGTATTTTCTTCATAACAAAATTACAGGTTAACACTGTGAACTACTTTGAACTCTGTATTTGCCTTCCAATTTGTAGCTTTGTCCTTTTTAATGGTTAGAATATTCTTTTTGTTACATCAACCATTGATCACTGTGATCTTCGAAAATAAAAGTTTCTCAAAAATGAATAACAATGCTCTCATATGTCGGTCTGTAATTTCCCACTGGTCCATTTACTGGTCCATACGTTCTGGGTCAACCAGAATTCTGATTGGTTGATTTTTTTTTGTGCACCCAGTGCTAATGGGGGTTTTTCAGAGCACCCCATTTCACAGCTAACAATCTGTCTCCAGAACACCCCCTTGTTTTCACTATTGTGGATTAGCCCAACCCACAAACATTCAGATTGAAGAATGTTCCAGAAGGTCTAGGTCTGGTGGTTTGGTCAACAGTTATTTAATTTTCAGTGTTTCACTCTCCTCAATGTCAAAGATGAACAGATCTGAACAGATCATGACATATTTCAATGTTGTCTAAAATCAATGTTGTCTAGTTTTCAAACTAGTTTTCATGTGTGTGGTGAGGACTGACCCTATGGTCGGTATCTCTTCTTCTATCACCAAGTCAGAGAGCAGGAAGTGATGTTTGGCGAGAAGGAAACGGTTAATTACTGAATCTCTGATCTGTGGAAAAACAAACAAACAAACAACAGTTAGCTGCTAACAGTAGCTTTAGCTTAAAACTGCTAAAAGTTTCACTGTTAACATAGAGATCAGTCTTTCTGCTCACCTTCTGCAGGTACTTGGCCACCAGAGCTCGGTGTGAGTCCAGATGTTCCTCAGTGTGGATCATCTCTCCATCCTTCAGTCTCCTCTCATAAACCTGACACAAGACCACAGGAATTCATCAGTGAAACAGCTGAAACCCCAGAAGCCTTCCCACGGTACACCAAGACAGTCTACAGACCTGAAAGACTTTGTCATCCACCTCTCTCTCCACAGAAGGAACACCTTTGTAATTTCTAAACTCTGCCACCTCCTGGTTGCGGAGTTGGAGCAGACGAAACCTCCTGGAGCTCCTGAACTCCTCGTCCATCACAAAGTTGAACTCCTCCTGGAGTTGTTCCAGTCTAAAGTAGTCTGGAGCGGTCACCTCTCCACTGCTGGCCACCTGACACAGAGACAGAGGTCAGTGGGGCTCCAGCAGGGACTTCAGGATCACATACACCACCTCACCTTCAGCAGCTGCATGATAGAAACGTTCTTCGGATCGTTGGGATCTAGACGAGACTGCGTCGCCCAGTCTGCAATTTTTTTCATGTCGTAGAGCCCAGATGCACCAATGTAGGAGACGGCATCCAGACGACCGCTGAGAAACACAGACTCACAGTGATGATGGCAACAAAAACAGAAGGCTGCAGCGCCACCACTACCCCCTAGATGGAACTACCTGTGTGTGCCGCTATGACGCTGAGATGCAGGAGGAGCGAGGGGGACATCGTCCTCACCCACCCCCCATGAAACACAGCAGGACAGCTTCCCAGAAGTCAACAGGGTTATTCTTTTGCCACCATCAGCCTCAAAGGACAGGGGGACATCTGAGGAAACAAGGAGGTGAAGTTAAGAGACAGTCAGAAAGACGGCAGGAGACGCTGTAATTAGATGGGGGCGCACTCAGGAAGAAGAGGTACGGATAGAGACAGGAAGTGTAGAAAAGAGACACAACGCGAAGTTAGGAGACAGGAGGTGACTCTTACCACTTCCCACTCCCTCATGGTCAAACATGACTCTCTGGTTGCAGCTGAACTCAATCTCCTCCAGAGGAACTCCTCCTGTCAACACTGAGGAGTCTGGAACTGGGACAAAGACCTGAGCCAGGAGAGAACAGGAGGATCCACTCTCCTCAAACACCTGGACACACAGATACACACAGACATCAGGTCCGATTATTACAGAGTGATCAGAGACTTGTTCTGTGCAGCAGATTTGTTTTTGTCCAGTGCGTGTGAAACCCAGCTGTCTGTGGGCCAAATCTGGCCCCTAGTGTAATTCTATTTGGCCCACGAGATCATATCAAATGTGTACTAGAGTTGGCCCCCCAGTATATAGTCCCTGTATACTGGCAGGATTTGTAGTATTAGCCATGTATGCACTATGTTATAGCAGAAACATTTTTGGTTTTTCTTGTTGTTGGCCTGTGAAAAAAGATTTACATTAAAAAAAGAACTGGAAAGGCTAGAGATAAAGAAACATAATAAAAAACAAATACCACTCGTGTGTGTTTTTTTTTTTTCAAATTTCATTTCTCACGTGTTTATAATCTTAACCTTTGGTTGTTCCAGATTCAATGTTTACGTAAAACTAAAGTTTGTTTCCATATGAAAAAAGTTTTTAATTTTGGTCCACTGTGAATTAGAGTTCGACCCCCATCTTAGACAGACAGTCTGGGTCTGACCTGTACCTGTAGGTTGATGCTATGTGGACAGTTGAGGATCTTCAGGTTGAAGATCTGACCAAAGTGGACTCTGAAATCAGTGTTCAGGCAGCGACTGTCCGTGCGGGAAACTTCTTTGTCGTTGTACAGGATCTTCACAAATAGAGAGCGACGCATGACCTCCTCCCTCCTGGACACCTCAGCCCTGGGACGTAAAAAACATCATGTTGTGACTATGAAATCATTCTTAGAGGAAACTGAAGTTTGTCAAACACCAAACCTCATAAAAACAGTTTTACACTCAGCAGCTGTTGATCCACTGCTGCTCTATCACTGAGTTCTAATGAGTTCCTGTGTGACTTTACTGTTAGAAATTATTTGTTGAGACTGACCTCAGTGATAGACTGACCACAGGAGGCAGCAGTGGACCAACAATCCCTGATTTTCTCTATGGACTTCTTTGTCTCAAACCTGGGACATAGTTCACTGGCAGTGATTTTCCCGGACGCAGACAGTTCAGGAATCAAGATGGCATCTCCAGGTTTTCTGCGAATCCTGGAAGCTTTCTCTCGGACCATCTGTTCCAGGGAGCCCAGGTCTGGCCTCTCTGGAGGTTCTGGTTTTGGGAGGTCTTCTCCTGAGTCATCCATCTCTTGGTCTTCTTCTTCTTCGTCTGTGTCCTCCTGTAACTGGCCCTTGTTCCTCTTCTTCTGTTTTTTCTTCTTCTTTGATTTCTGAAGCAGAGGT